AGCAGGAGGTTAAACTCTGTGGGAAACAGCAGTGGATGTTAATGCTGGGTTTTGGATAAACATTAACTCCCTTGCATTAACTCTGTTCAGAACAGGAATGTACTACCGTAATGGATTAACTGATGGCAGCACAGCAGAGGAGCCTGCTGCGCTGCCAGGAGGAGGTCTGATAGTCAGCATGAAGAAATAATTCTTGGCGTGATCCATCCTAAACGAGAGAGTTTGAAACCAGGTTTATCTGTAAGCTGAAGCCAGACAGCTCTTGCTATGACCAAGGGACCAAAAGCAATATATTTTCTAAGCAAGTATTCCATCTTCTGCCATCTTCTGGGAAAAATATTGACCAAAGTCTTAGGTTTGCATTTTTCACAGGATAGGCAGTAATACCACCAAAAAACAATTTTGCTGAGGTCGAGTAGAAGATTCTCTAAGGTGAGGCTAGGAGAGTATTAAGGAAAAGTATCATAAATTCTTGCTGTCTTCTTATACTCTTGCCTAGGCATCTGCTTTGGCCACTCTCAGACTTAGGCTAGGTAAACTATGTGGGTCTTTGGTCTGACTCACTGCTGCTTTATGATAAGAAAGAGAGGAAATAAGACTGTGATCTGATAAAGACTTTTTTGTCTTTATGGATTTATATCTAAAAACCGAAAAACCTTTGCCTGTCTTCTGTCTCCCTGCTCTCAAATAGCTCCCATACTTTACTGTTTTCTTGGAAAGAGGTATGTGACTGGTAAGATTACTGGTAATCTTACGCTAGTAAGATTATAGTATAGTATCACAAGTGTCTAGCAAACTAAGACTGAGTCATCTAATCATATGTATATTTTAAAGCTCTGATTAGAAACTTGTGTTAAGAGTATTTTTTGATTTCTTATTTATCAAACACCTGAAAAATGGTCAGAATGTAAGTGTTAACAGTAGCAACTTTAACTCTTTCTGTAGGTTTTTTTTTCAAATGAGATACAAATAGACATTTGTGTCTTCAAAAAGAGAAGCACAGGAGAAGTAGCAACACAGCTCCTGACACTCCTGATTGCTATATGAATAAGCAGTAAAAAGGAAAACAATTCACTGGTTTAAAGAAAAATCCCTTTTGAGCTCTTTTGATACAAAGATGCAAAAGAGAACAAATCCAGTTTGTCACCAACTTCACTTTTTCATCCTTGAAGTTAATTTTATAAAATCCATTATATTGTGCTTAGAAATATAAATTACTCAGCAGGTTTATCAAAATTTCACAATGAAATGTTACAGATGCATCAGTGACTGCATAACGTAGTGCCTTTGGGAAAATAGAACTCACACAAGCATGAAGAACTATTTTTACCATTTTCAGTGCAGATAACTAAGTATCAGTTGTCCTTATGATACTCTGGAAAAGACAGAATAAGAAAAATCCCTCAAAATAAAAGGAAAAGTCGTGTAATACTGTATAAAACAGAGAAGGAATGAGTTCACAAGCCCCTCTCCAAAATGTCGGGTAGGTAGAGAAGGAAGGAGCAGTAACAAATGCTTGTGTTCCTTCTCCTGCAAAGTCTGAAGCACACAGAGAACAACAGAAAACAACTAGTGTTCACAGCAGCATCATCTTATTTTCCCTAGAATGAGACGGAAACAGTACCCTTGTGAAAGATAACCTGTTCCACAAAATACCTGAGGGAACTGAAAGAAATGTAAAGGCTGGATTTTTGGGGGTGGTCCTTGCAGAGTCAGGCCCTAAGCTCAAATGTATGTGTGTATGATATGACTAAACAGCTCTTTGGCATCATTTTCTTTTCCCTTTTCTGCTTGCTTTTACTGAGGAGAACAAAAATATGTATACATATGTTGAGGAACAAGGTATCCAAGAAAAGTAGCTTACACTATTGTTTTTCTCTGGTTTGTGGGTGTGACTAGATTAAAGGTCACAACAAGCTGAATTGGTTGACTCTTTAATTTACAATTTTGATCTTCCAGGGAAAATCTGGAGACTATTTTCCAGGACATGAAAGAAGAGTGTCACCAAATATGTATGCTAGCCAGAGAACAAACAGACCAGCTAAGTAAATTTAAGATAAAGCCAGAACCTGAAACTGGTAATATCATACTTAAGCTCTTATTGTGATTCAACTGTTTGAAAGCTTTGCTTTATATTTGAAAATACTGTAAATTACACATACATAGAAGTACTTCCACTGTTTACCATCTGCCTTTTTCAAGTCTGTTCACATGGTGCTCAGTATTTCACCAAGAAAATGCACCGCCAGTTTTGGCATTCTATGACGAATGCTCCAAATCACATGCTATAAAAGACAGTCATCACATCAATGGCTCTTGTAATTGTTTTGTCCCTTGGAGTGAGAGGCAGGCACTTACTACATGTGATATCCCATCATACTGTGTGAATGACAGCACTTGCTTGCTTTTAATTTAGCTGTCAGTTCAAAAGATGTCTGTTATGAATGTCTCAAGCCCCATATCTGTTAGAGGAAAAGCCGGACTGAGGACAGTCAGAGGACTTATTTTCTAGACTTCCTTGTGCCGACCTTTGAATACTGTTTTGTTATATGGGACACAGCTTAATCCAACACTTCCTGAAAACAAAAGAAAGGCTTGATATTTGTTGCAACTGGAAGAGATCCTGAACGTCTAGTTCTGTTAATGCTTACATTTAATATAATGTAAGCTGCTATGGGTATTCCCTACTAGCTTTTCTTAGTGGTAGGATCGGACTCTTCTTAAGGGATTTCAAACAACACCTGCCAAATTTACATGGTTGAAGCAAAAGACGCTGATTTCAGCACATGCTTCTGATTTAGGTTATACCATTCCTGAAGTTTTGTTACATGAAGTGCTAATGTGTAGCTTGTGGCTTCAAACTGCTATGTCTGAACTGTATTGTTATATCCTGATTGTATACTGCTAAACTTTATTATTTGGGGGTGGGAATTTTGGGGGATGAGTGCTTGGCAACTTATTTCAGAATGGATTTGTTTTCCTTAAATAAGTGCCTAACTCAACTGCATGAAAAGCTATATGATATAGATTTAATCTGCTTGATTTCTGTTACTTCTGTGGCACACTTTACTACAATATCTGAGTGATATCAGAAGGCTGCTCTACAGTAAATATGTACTGAAGTTATTCTTCCACCTGATTAAGAGTAACCATGTATATTATTACCATTTTTGTTAGTAAGAGTGCCAAAAATGAAGGGAGAATTCTCAAAGCAAAGGTAAAATATGGTCCCAGTTCTGAATAGTTACTCAGTTTAAATATTTACCTAATTTGGAAAACAATGGTTGTTTAGTACCTGAATACCTTCTGAAATCATGCTCATGGTGCTTTGCATGTTCTTGGCACCGTGTGAAATGGTTTTGGTTCCAGCTTCTATTTCTGCCAGAACACTTCAGTAAATATATGCAAGGATGTGTTAAGAGTATGGGACAACATCATTTTCAATAAAATGAAAATGTTTGTAGCCATAAGTCAGAGAGAAATAGAACTATTAGAACAGAATTATTTCCTTTTATTTCTGTTCTGATAGTTTTTGTGTCAGAGCTAATGTTTGTGAAGAGAGCTATGCCTCAAACTGATTTCAAAGAGAAAAAAGAAAGGTTAGAAAGCCAAGAAGATCAAAAACCTCTCAGGAAAAATACCCCACCACCACACCTTTAATAACTGTACTTCAGTGGACTATTTAATGTTTTCTTCGTTCTTTCTTCACAGAAATACAGTTTTCTATGCCGATACAGTGTACTGATAAAACTGATGAACAAGCAGAAGAGCTTTTTAAGCCTCGGGTTATAAAGGATATAAATAGAGGTGCATCATGCATCACATCTATCACACCAAGAGGAGTGGGCCAAGATGAGGACAACAACTCTGTAGAATCACTTTCTAAATTTAATGTCAAGTTTCCACCTACAGACAATGACTCTGCTTTCTTGCAGAGCACTCAGGAAAAACCAACAGTTCCTTGTACTGGTATAGCTGAAAACATGCTTCAAGATCATCATTTTAACCTGGAGCACAGAGACCGTGCTGTTAACCTCAGTAAATTGGAACCTAACTCATTTGAAGCTCATGGAGTTGATCTCATGACCTCAGCTTTGCAAAACTTAACTACTGTTGACAAAATAAACCCCCCAAATCATGCAAACATGCCCATAGAAAATACCCGTGACAAAACATGTTTAAAAACAGACACTGATTTCACATTTGTACCTAAGCACACAAACCAGGGTGTACCTGAAGTAATTTTTTCTTCTTTAGAAGCTGCTGGGACAACCGTCAGAGGTCCTCATCAGGTATCTTTCTATAAATACCATACATTTCAAAAAATGGTAATGATTCAAACAACCACTTTGCAAGGATCTTTGAGACGGGATTAATATATTATATGAAGTATCTCCTCAGTCTTTTTTTACGACAATATCTCTTGCCAGTTCTTGCTGATACTGAAGTGTGTGTACAAGACACTTTTCCGGTGAAGGGGCAGGAATTTAAGCAGATGTAAGCACTGGATATGCTTGCACAAATTTCAGTTCATTTAGATATTAATTGCTTCTATATCTATTTCAAAGCTGTCGTTAATCGTAAGATTGCTTTCATTCTACCCTTGATCTCAGTTGAATAGGGCACATAATTATTTAATTGTTTTTAATGTACAGCAGAGTATATGACAAATGGACTTAATTAGTCAAGCTGAACACATAAACACTGTGGAAAAATTATCTACTTTTTATCTCATTCTGAGGTATAAACAGCACCCTAGCCCTCCCTTTTAAGAAAACTTAAAATTTTTTCTTCATAGTTTAAGCAGTCAAGCAGGAAAGCATATTTATTTTTTCAAATTAAGGGAAGTTCACTAAAATACTTTATTTTAGGTTTATGTAGGTGCTTTGGGGTTGAATTTCAGTTATAGCTTCTTGAAGTCCATGGGAGCTTCTGAAAGCAAGGTCCGGTTGCTGTAATGCAGAAAAACATTTCAGCAGGTTCTGACAGTCACGTCTCTGAATACTTTGCTTCTTTTGTGTAACATCCTGTCTCAACTGAAATTGCTGGCAAAATTATTATGGACCATGATAGACTGGTATTTTTATGTTTCTGTGGCTTTTCTCACACCTTGTGAGAGGACAGCTTTTCAAGAATAATCAAATAGTGATATTTAGGAACTTATGTGAGGGTGAATTTGGCATATTTTTATTATTTACATCTATGTGGTTTTGTGTTCTTTGCTTATGACAAGGTACATGCAGCAGAAGAGCTTTACCGCTCAATCTGGCCACTGCATGACATGCAAAACTAGCATTTGGAAAATGTTTGTACGACATGATAGCTTTGATGTTTTCTTCTCCTAAAACATACTCAGTCTGGTTTAATTTTCTGTTGCAAACCAGATTTGGATGAAAAGTTTAAAGCATGGAAAGTTTCCTGCTCTTCATCATTGTATTTTAAACTATAAGCCTGATTTTTCAAAACATATTTTAAATATCTATTTGTAATGTAGGAGATCTCAATTCTATACCAACTTACTAGTGACAGTTTTTTATTGTGCTTTGTTTTTCATTGGGTTCTCAGTTAAAGTTGTGACTGAGTTAAACAAGTTAAACCATTTATTTTATCACTGGTAGAATTCCTGTGGAGCTGTGAACCATTCACTCCATTGCTTGTTACTATCCTCTCCTTCTGTATTCCCTCTCCAGCTTGTTCTTTTACTAGTTAGTCTGTGTATTCATTTTTCAATAGATGGCACCCTGCATTGTGTATTACAGCAAGTGAAACAGCTGGTATGTGATTATAAATTGATAGGGGAGTATGCAGCTTAAAAAGGAGGGAATTGCAGTTGAATAACATTAAGCCTTCGGTTTGATCATTCGTATTTCTGCAAAATAAGGAAATTAATTTGGAGCCATCATTTATAGTGTAAATTATCTGCTTTGTGGAGAAAAATGTAATAATGCTAACACTTGGAGAAAAGAAAGCTAATGGTGACTGTTCCAGTATTTGTAAGTCATACCTACAATAGCACTGTAGAACATACAGGACATTGATTAAAATGTTATATCTTATCCAGAAGCTTGTCTGAAACAAGCCAATATTACTTCAGAGTCTATTACGTACACATCTGTGTATATCAGTGTATTTAAACATCCACCACCTTTATTCAGCTGCCTTCAAAAGAGGTTTTTAAGTATTTTTCCCAGTGAATCGGACTCAGCTTTGGAGCTTTTTCTAACTGTTAGTTGTGATAAAGATTTGATTCACAGAAAATATATATGTAGATTAAAATACTAATGTTTTTTAAAAGATACTTGCATACATGCCCCTTTGGCTGCATTAACCTTAGCAGAATTTATGCATAAACTTGTTCTTAGTATTTTTACCACCTTTCTTGGGGGTGGTTACGCTGCTTACAGCTTCCATCATCCCTGACACTGGTGAAGCTCCAATAGGGAGGAATTATATACCTGATCTTTTTTTTTCCTAGTGTAGATAAAACTTTCAAGTATTTACTACATATGTTAACTTATAAAATGGAAAACCCCATAAATGCAGTAGATTTGGCAACAGTAAGTTCTTGGAACTGCTCTCAGTTGCTGTAATAAATTTAGCTCTTTCCTTCAATGTGGATACTAAATGTGAAAACTCAGTACTGTTTTCTTAGCATGTAACTTTTTAAAAAAACATGTGACTGAAAAGAGCAGCAGATTAAAATAAACACGGATATTAGTGGACCTAGGATTTTACAGACTACATTTAACTGAGACTTGCATATAGATGCGTGTGTTTATCGGCATTCACAGTTTGAGGGGGTTGTTTCCACCAAAAGTATTTCTAGGAATGTTCATTATTTTAAAAGCAAATTGATAATCTATTAATCTTAATCTGAATGTTAATGGAATATCTGCTTAAATATATCCCTGTTCTGAAAAGCATGTTAAGCACATGCTTAACACTTAAAGAAAGAAATGGAAGCTAAGTGCCTGCCTTGGTGGGTTGCTGGAGGAGTACCTCCCCTTCTGCTTCCAAGTTTAGAAATCTTACTATGTCCTTTGTGGGGTTTTTACAATACTATTTTATCTTTTTTCAAATGGTGCTTTACATCATGAGGTATTAGAAACAAGTAATTCTAAACACATTTCTGTAGGGATGTTTAAGTGTGTCAGTGTCTAGATAGATTTAATATGCAATTTACACCAGCAACATACAATAAGTAGAGTCTTTGAGCTGAAAAACGTGGTGTGATTGCACTTAATTACTAATTAGTCAATTTAATTATATGGATTGCTGACTATAATGAAAGACAGTAAATCTGCTATTGCTATCTGATAAACTAAACACTGTTTAAATAGGGAATGGACGGGAAATTGACTCCAAGAAATTCACCTGGTTTAGAAAGAGGGTTTAAGCACTATGAAAGCCAGGTTAGTTGTAGGGTGAGTTACCGTGGGAGGAATAAACAATAGATTCTAACTGTTTGGCATGATGAAATTTGAATAAGAGCTGAAAATTAACACTTGTGGGTAAGTATTGATAGCAAGAAATTTAAAACTTCTAAAGAAACTACTTTCTAAAGTATTCTTGCTTGCCTTTCCATGTGTGAGTGAAGCAAGAAAGAAGAAAACTGAGCCAAAAAAAACTGTAGGGTGCTCTCCTCTTCTAGGTTCCATCCCCACATAGAGCTCATACCAGCTTGCTGCCATTCTGTCTACTTTGCAGTCACATCAGTACGCATTTAGTTTTTCATTTACTCAAAACCTAGTTGTCCAGGCCATGTAACACAACGGTGTATTTTGTCTTGTTTTGCTAATACTAAAGTAATGAAACTTAATTTTTAACTTTACTTTGAAAACAAACAGCAGACATTTTGATTCCTGGTTGATATGAAGCTAAATAATTGGTGTGCACTCTGACTTAAAGTATGTATCATGCTGAAGTCCCTTGAACTCCAGTGTCAGGTAAACAGATTTGCTGGCTTTAAACTGAATAGTTCAGGGACCAAGAGCAGTACAGCTGCTCAAACAAATTTAGCATAGTTTACAGAATTGCCTGAATGCATGGATAGGTTTTCAGATGATCCCATTGAGTTTGATGCTGTTACGGCAGAAGGAATGCCAAGACAGATTATTTGAGACACATTTACACTAGAAGGCAGTCAGAGCAAATAGGTAACTTAAGCCATACAACATTGCTTTAGTCATTTTGTCAGTAAACTGAGAACTAGTTGTGTGTCAATAAGAATAGAATAAAATATAATTCATATTAACTCTGTACAATAAACATTTTATTCTAAGGTAAAAATGTTTTCTCATTTCTGTTAAATAGCTATTACATCCTATGACTTCTACGGTTAAATACTGAAACGCAAAGTTAAAGAAGAGCCTTATATGTATCAGACCGATATTACAGAGTTTTGTTCATGGCAGTATTTATCATGAATAGATACAGAGGCATGTTAAGTATTTACAAGGATAGTATGTTTATAGAACTTTAAAAAAATCAAAGTCTTGTCTTGCTTCTCTTAAACGAGAACTCTCTCATTAATGTCTCTGGCCAGGCAGGTGTAAAGATTACCTAGTTTAAAGAGGCAGGTATTTTTTTATATAATTGTAAACCACAGCAATAATAATTTTCTGTTTCTTTTAGCTCGTTTGGCAGCCTCGAGACAATGATTTGCTGGCACAAGCTTATACAGACTCTGAACTGAATCAGTGTGGAATATGTGAATTCTGTCGAGAAGTTTTCCCACCATCTATAACAACTAAGGAAGATTTTCTTCGGCATCTGAATTCCCACTTTAAAGTACAGTCTTAATGTATGAGAATTCAATGGATCACTGGTTTTGCATACATTTGGGGTTTTTTATTCAATAGATATGTTAAGAATTTAAGAATTAAGACTTCTTGTAACAAGAACTCATGACTGAAATTATTTGTCAGATAGGCACATTTTTAATTGGTCTTTGACAAGGTAAAATGAAACTATCATTCAGTACTGTAATTCACATTATTGCTTGTTATGCTTCAATATTTCCTTTGAAAGTGATGTTAAACATCTTTGATTTTCTTTTTTCTTTTTTTTTTCTTTTTTTTTTGCAATTAATCATTGCCTGAATAGGCCCAAAGTCATGGTTATATTTGTGAGTGTAGACTTGCAGGATTAATGCCTTAATCTGGCTGGGGAAATTGGTGTAATGCTAGGATTTTTTTCTCAATATCCAGTGATGTGATTATGTTCTCCTTGAAGTAAACAGAAGAGAGGTAGGCTCTCATTTTTCATTTCTATTATAAAATTTCCAAATTTAACTTATAATAGTAAACTGCTTAATTCAGGTTCTTGTAAAATCATCACAGGAGCAGAATGCCAGGTGTGACACAATTAGGATAGGCTTCTTCACTAGTAACATAAATGAATGGTTGGCTTTCCCAGATGAATTATTTGCTGGAGAGGGTAACCAAACACACCACATAAATGCTCATTTTGCCAAAATGTAATGGTAGCAATTTTTCGAATATCTGTTACATGTTATTAAAAAAATAACAATTTTGTTCATGTACCTTTCTAGCATTAATAATTAGTACAAATATTTTCATGAAAAAGGTCATATTATTATGAAGGATAGAGTGAGAAAAGGTTAAACTTTCTCTAAAACTAATACCAAAGATTATTTACTTTTCCTTCTGGTCTGCTATGAAGGACTGCTCAAGTCTCTTACAGCCTGGACAGGAAAGGGGAAAATCTAATCACCCAAATCTCAGTGAGTTCATTTTTAACCTGAATACGCTTAGTGGCTTTCTCAATGCAATTTAAATTTGTGGTTAGTTGCAGCATTGCATTTTGATAAAGCTTGCACATTTTCTGGATTTATCTGGATCATATTAAAAAGGGGGGGTACTAAGTAATTTAAATTAATGATAAAGGGTGACATGGAGCTTTTTGCATTTGAACTGAATATAGGTTTTAGTCCTGGTATTTGATAATTAGCATTAATATTTTCATAGCAACAAGCACGACAGTTTCTCTTTTTAAAGATTTGTTTGTAGGTGACCAATTTCTGGAAGAATTAACACCTGCATAATTTTTAGAAATTGATTTTTCTGAAATTATTTTCTGTGTTTTGGACATCCCGTGTTTGTGACTGGCTGCCAGCAGCGTGCCCTAATAAACAGCAGTGTACAGTGCGTGTCTGCTGCGTGACCTGGAGAAAGCGGTTGTTACTATTAACAGCTCTGAAGCCCCGCCGGTGCCCAGCCGGAGGAGGATTCGTGCACCCCGGGACCCGCCGTGCGGCGTTTGAAGTACCTCCCCGGCGAGCGCGGCGGGGGGTGGTTCCTGGGAGAGGCACAGGTTCCAGCATTGGGAGAGGGGGATGCGCACACCTCCAGCACCTCCAGCCAGCCCGGCACAAAACCGACTTGTCCTCTCAGCCGTGAAATCCGAGCTCAGGAGCTCACGTTATTGAGAGCTGGACAAACCGCGAATCTCCTTCAAAGCAAATAAAGTCATCCTCTGGCCCCCCGCCGCGCGCGGGCGCGTTGTCCCCGGGAGCCCGCCTCTTGGCCCCCTTGCCGGGCCGTGGCTCCTTGTTGCCGGGTCCCCCCCCCCTGCAGCCAGGGCAGAGCGGGGAGGGGGGCAGAAAGCGGGGGGACACGGTTGCCTGAAGCCTCGTCGACCAGCAGAACCCACCCATCTCCCACTCTGAGGGCTCCTGCCTAGCGCGGCGCCTTGGGAAGCCGTTTAGCCCCGCGTGCTTAAACCCATTGCTGCCTGGGGGCGTCCGGCTCGGCCCACCGACCGGCCCGGTGCGAGGGGCACCGCTCTGGTTTAGAACTACGTAAATAAAGGAATGAGTCTCACGCTGAGCAGTTGTGAGCGACTTGCAGTGGGAGGTGAGTGCGGTCCCTGAGTGGGCCCCGCTCGCAGAGCCCTCCTGGAGGGGGCTGCTGCTGCCAGCAGGGACATCTGCTTTATGACACTCCCCAGAGGAGACGCGGTGTTCCTCCCTTCCGCTCCCTCTTCCACGCGAGCTCAGCTCAGCAGAGGGGGTTGAACTCAAATGGGAAGTGGGATTTCGTTTAAAACCATGAATCTGGGGGACGTGGAAGTTGGAAGGGAAGAAAGGGAGCAGGCTGGGGCCGAGGTGTCCCACCCAGCTCCTCCGCCCCTCGGGCCAGCCCCGGGGCTGAGGCCGCTTCCCCGGGGCGGGCTGCCTCGTCCCGCCGCCCCGCGCCGAGCCCCGCGCTCGCAGCCGGTGTGGGCGGGAGCTCTCGCTGTGACCGGAGAGCAAGGCGGCGGAGCGCTCCCCTCGCTGTTCGGGAGCGGCTGAGGGGGACGCCCGGGCCGCCGCCGGCCAGAGGGCTCAGCGCCGGCGGCCGGGCAGAACACATGTAGCTCCTCGGTCTCTCCGGCTAACTCGACAGCTGCTCGTAGCTCCAGTAATTAGACTGTCAGTGCTTGTTAGAGGAGAGGAAAACGCTCCTCTGACAGATTCCACGAGTCCTCTGTTTTTCGAGATCTCACAGAAATCACCAGAGCATTAACTGAGATCTCTTCTTTGGAATCGGAAGGAAGAAGTTCCCTCTGCCATCTCGCACTCCAATCAGAGCTCTCTTCCGACTCCCATGAAACACAGTGAATTCACTCTAAGAGGCTCAGGAGAAGTTACCTTCCTTCCCTACCCACCCGGGAGGAAAAGAGAGCTTCCTGGCCGTGTGAACTTACTTTTGAAATCCCCTCCTCATATTGCTGGATTTAACTAAACGAATGACTCAATGGAAATGCAGTCTTTTCTCCATTAACAGAGCGGAGGAGTCGCACCACACACGATCCTTCCCCGTCCGAGATAATGTTAATTCAGAGGATGCTCAGGAGAGGCTGTTCCCCCTTACGAACAAAAGCGCTGGAGGATCAAGCCGAGATGCTCCTACCCCCACCCATGGTTCACTCGGCAGATGAGACTCAGAGGAGGCGATTTCTCTTCCTCCCTACCGTACATTCCCCTTTCCCCCGCAATCATACAAGGTTAACTCAACAGAGGAGTCTGGATCCAAATGGCAACTGGGATTGCATTAAAAAAAA